TTAAAGAAGAAATGATACCAATACTCTACAGTCTCTTCCAGAAAATAGAAGCAGAGTGAATACTTCCTAACTCATTCTACCAGGCCAGTTTTATCCTAATACCAAACCAAAGACATTACAAGAAAAGAAAACAATAGACCAGTATCTCTCATCAACAGAGATGCAAAAATCCTTAACACACTATTAACAATTAAAATCCAAAAATGAATAAAAAGAATTATTCACCATGATCAAAAGGGATTTATACTGGGTATACAAGGCTGATTTAACTTTTGAAAAATCAACTAATGTCATTCATCATATCAACAGGCTAAAGAAGAAAAAGCTCATGGTTATATCAGTAGATGCAGAAAAAACATTTAACAAAATTCAACACCCATTCATGATAAAAATTCTCAGTGAACTAGGAATAGAGAGGACCTTACTCAACTTGATAAGGAACATCTACAAAAATCATACTGCTTACATCATATTTAAAGGTAAGAAACTCAAAGCAATCCTGATAAGATTAGGGACAAAGCAAGGATGTTCTCTGACACCAGTGCTTTCAACATTGACCTGGAAGTCTAGTCCTAACTAATGCAGTAAGACAAGAAAAGAAAAGAAAAGGTATATATCTTGAGAAGGAAGAAATAAAACTGTCTTTGTTCACAGATGATATAATCATCTATGTAGAAAATCTAAAAGAATTGACCAAAAAAAATCTCCTGGAACAATATAATAAGCAATTATGGCAGGGTTGCAGGATACAAGGCTAATATACAAAAATCAATTGGTTTCTTTTTTTAAGAAAAAAAATTTTGAGACAGGGTCTCACTCTGTCACCCAGGCTGGAGTATACTGGCATGATCATGGCTCACTGCAGCTTTGACCTCCCTGGGCTCAGGTGATCCTCACACCTCAGCCTCACAAGTAGCTGGTACTTCAGGTGCACACCAACATACCCGGCTAATTTTTGTACTTTTTTGTAGAGATGGGGTTTTGCCATGTCACCCAGGCTAGTCTTGAACTCCTGAGGCTCATGTCTTAGCCTCCCAAAGTGCTGGGATTACAGGCATGAGCCACCACACCCAGCCAATTTATTTCTTATATACCAGCAAAGAACAGGTGGAATTCAAAATTAAAACACATGACCATTTACATTAGAACCCCCAGAAATAAAATACTTAGGTATTAGTCTAACAACATATATATGACTTATATGAGGAAAACTATAAAACACTTGTGAAAGATATCAAAGAATTAAGTTAATGGAGAGATATTCCATATTCATGGATAGGAAGACTTAATATTCTCAAGGTATCAGTTCTTCCCAACTTGATATATAGATTCAACATAATCTCAATCAAAATTCCAGCAAGCATAAAACTAAATAAATCAACCAAGTTATTTTGTGGATATTGACAAACTGATTCTAAAGTTTAAAGAGAGAAGCAAAAGACCCAGAATAGTCAACACAATATTAAAGGAGAGAATAAAGTCAGAGGACTGACTTTATCTGACTTTAAGACTTACTGCAGAGCTACAGGAAATAAAACAGTGTGAAAAGAATAGACAAATAGATCAGCAGAACAGGATAGAAGAGCCCAGAAATAGACCCACATAAAATAGTTAATCGATCTTTGGCAAAGGGGCAAAGGCAATACAGTGGAATAGAGACTTCATCTTTTCAACAAATCGTTCTGGAAAAACTGGACATCCACATGAAAAATTCAGTCTAGGCACAAATCTTACACCCTTCACAAGAATTAACTCAAAATAGATCATAGACATAAATATAAAACACAAAACTATAGAATTCCTAGAAGATAACACAGGATAAAATCTAGGTGACCTTGGATATGGCAGTGATTTTTCAGATACACCACCATAGACAATCCATTAAAGAAACAATGGGTAAGTTGGACTTCCTTAAAATTTAAAACTTCTGCTCTGTAAAAGACAATGTCAAGAGAATGAGAAGAGAAGCCACAGTCTGGGAGAAAATATTTGCAAAGGACACACCTGATAAAGTACTGTTTTCCAAAATATGCAACGAACTCTTAAAACTCAACAGTAAGGAAACAACCTGATTAAAACCTGGGCAAAAGTCTGAACAGTCACCTTACCAAAGAGGATATACAAATGGAAAATATATTAGCACCACATGTCACTAGGGAATTGTATGTTAAAATAACAATGAGATACTAATACACATCTATTACAGTAGCCAAAATACAAAACTAACATCACCAAATGCTGGTGAGGATGTGAAACAACAGGAATTTTCATTTATGCTGGTGGGAATGCTAAAAGGTGCAGACAATTTGTCAGAAACTGTCAAACTGTCTGTAGTTCTTACAGAACTAAACATACTCTTATCATATGATCCAGTGATCATACCCCTTGGAATGTACCTAAATGAATTGAAAACTTATGTCCACACAAAAATCTGCATACAGATGCCTATAGCAGAGTTATTTTTAATTGCCAAAATTTGGAAGCAGCAAAGATGTCCTGCAGTAAATGAATGGATAAATAAACTGCAGTGCATCCAGACAATGGAATATTATTCAGCACTAAAAAGATACGAGCTATCAAGCCATGAGGCGACATAGAGGAAATTTAAATACATATTACTGAGCGAAAGAAGCCAATCCAAAAAGGCTACACACTGTGATTCCAACTATATGACATTGTCAAAAAGGCAGAACTGTGGAGACAATAAAAAGATCAGTGGTTGCCAGGGGTTGGGAGTGGAGAAGGATGACTAGCAAAGCACAGAGGAATTTTAGGGTGATGGAACTATTCTGCATGATCCTATAAAGGTAGATAGATGTTGTTATACATTTTTCAAAACCCATGGAATATACAAAACCAAGGGTGAACCCTCATTTAAGCAATAGACTTGAGGGGATGTGGCAACATAGGTTCGTTGATTGTAACAAGTATACCACCGTGGTGCGGGTTGTGGCTACTGGAGAAGGTTTGCATAGGGAGGGAGTGTAAGGGAACTCTCTGTAGTTTCTGCTCTGTTTCGCTGTGAACCTAAAACTGTCCTAAAAATTAAAGTTTATTAATTTTAAAAAAATAATATTTGGAGTTTTAAAACACAAATCAAAGACTAGTTACAGTCTATTAAGACTGTGGATGTATGTAGCAATTCTGCTTGTGAAGGGAAATACACTATTTAACATGAAATTATACTCCTGACACAATATGCTATATATACAGGAACCTCATAACTAGTAAATTTTCAACATGTGAGTTCAGTGACTAGTAAGAATGAATAAAAATGAAGCTCCTTTAGTTAATCTAAGCAAGGGAACATCTATTTATAGTTACTAATTAAAGGACTCTGTAAAGCAGGAAAACCATACATGATAAGTGGTAAGCAGCAAACTTCTGTGGATTTGGGCCTCATGATGGTTTAAAATTGCCTTGCAATTTGATCTCACCAGTGGTTGACATTTGACTATAGTCCATTTGCCAGCCAAGGTAAGTCCCTACCCATTGCTGTCTGCAGCTGGCCCCAAGCTCTTGCTGGACAGGAATGCCTTAAAGGGAACGCACACTGGGAGGCAGTTCAGAAAGAGGGAAATGAGGAGGAGGTGTAAGTAGGACAAAGAAGAGTCAAACTACAGAGGAATCATAAAGAAAATAATAGAATAAATTGAGAACCCAAGGGGATGGAAAAAAATAGCAACCAAGGAGAATAAGACAGAAGAAAAGGTAATAGTGTCAGTAGAAAAAACTGTTAGTGGAAGGCAGGTTAAACTTGGAAGGAAAAATGAACAAAAAAGCAAAGTAGGAGTGTTGGAATTTACAACAATAGAGCACCACATCATCTCTTCTGCTCAATAATTTTGGAATTGTTGGCTGATGCATTAGCCCAGTGTTTCTCAACTGGGGGTATCTCACCCTCCCACTCAAGAGACAGTTATCAATGTCTGCAAACATTAGGGTGTGCTAAGGGTGCTGCTCAATATCTGAAAATACACAAGACAGCTCCCCACCTCCAAGGAATTCTCTGATCCAAAATGTCAAGAACAAAGAGGGTGACAAACTGCGTTGGCCCATTGTCAGCACCAGTTCCAGACTCCAAGTGACTGTGCTTCAATTCACCCACTGTTTTCTGACCTATATCGTGTTATACTGCATATAGATCAAGTTGATGGTCAGACCTCAGCAAAGAAGTTAAAATTTGGCTGATAAATATATCCTGAGTAAAGAATCCTTTGCTTCACTCTTTCTTTCAGCAACTGCTCAGTGAGGACCTGCTGTGTGCCCACGGCTGTCAGCACTTACCAAAGGCTGTGTGGGCTTCAGAGATGGAGAACAGATTAGTGGTTCTTCAGAGATGGAGAACAGATCAGTGGTTGCCAGGGTTTAGGGATGGTGGAGAGGAGGGAGTGGGTGTGACTTCCCAGTGGTGGTGGCGCAGTACTGTGCCTTGGTTGCCATGGTGGTTACGTGAACCCACACGTGATGAAGTCACACAGAAGCGTAGGCACACGTTGTACCCCTGTCAGCATCTTGGTTTTGACATTGTGCTATAGTTATGTGAGACATAACCACTGCGGGAAATTTGGGAAAGGGTACACAAGACCTCTCTGTACTACACTTGTATCCTTCTGTGAATTTAAACATTTCAAAATAAAAAGTTTTTTTTTTTTTTATTCAAACCTTAAAAGGGAAAAGACAAGACTGGCCAAACAACGAATGAAAGATGTAATTGTAACCAGGACAGACAGGAATAGTCCATGCACACAGAACCCCATGCAGATCTATAAATAGAAAGGGCCAGAAAAGCAGCATACTCTTGGAGTATGGTATTGAAACTGGGAAAACAAACTCACTTTTTATTAAAATTGACCTATTCAGATGCAGTGCCAATAAGAAATAATTATGCCCTCTTGTGGAATCAAAATACTTCTATTTCAGTGAAAGGTATGTATTGTTGAAGTCTAACACTAAGTTATGTCATATCTAATACTGTTTAATTGCATGTTTTGTTATAGGGACAAGCAGATCTTTTGAAATATGCTAAGAATGAGACTTTGGAGAACCTGAAACAAATCCATTTTGCTGCTGTTTCATGTGGACTGAATAAACCGGGCACCGAAAATGCTGATGTCCAGAAGCCACGCCGGAGCTTGGAAGTCATACCTGAAAAAGCAAATGATGAAACTGGAGAATGAGGAAACTTACAATAAATCATTATGGAGTTTATAACTCTAGGACCAATTGTAGTCAGATGGGACATTTGCTTTGCACTCGCTAATGAGAATAATATTCGGGATTTTAAAGCACAACTGGAATAGCTAATTACAGTCTATTAAAACTGTGAATGTATGTAGCAATCCTGCGTGTGAAGGCAAATAAACTCTATAGCAAGCAATTATATTGCTGGCCAAAATATGCTATATTTGTATACAAAGACATTCTAACTCAGTTCCAGTATGAAGAACAGATTATTCACTCTAGCTCCATTGAGAAACATTTTCCTAAGTGAAAACAATTTCTTAAGATGGAAATGGATTGGATTGTCAAATTATTATTTATTGGAGAAAAAACCTGATCTACGCATTTTTACTTATGTGGGGTTGCCAGAGTATCTGGGTTCTAGATGATTTTGGTGGCATGCTTGCTGAGCCATAATTACTAAGGAGAATGTAAGTGGACAGGTTCCCTGAATCCCCGGGGTCCTTGGAGAGCCATCGAGGAGAATGTGCAATTGGACTGAAGCTCCCTGGCTGAAGACACATGCCGAATCAGCACATGGGTAGAGATGATGTAAAAGCAACAAATCTGGAAACAATACATTGTAAATAGTTTTTCATTGTATGAAGTAGTGTTCACATTAAAAAGATGTTTTATGATATTTCTCCAATAGCAGTACATGTGTTTAATGAAGCCTTAACTTTTAAGATTTCTGGTTCAAAATATTCTACTCTTAAGCGTGGCCACTTACTTGTTGAACAGCTTTGTCAAAAATAAGTTGCTTGTCTGGGCTGACCTTATTTTGCTTTTGGTAAGGTTTCAACAGTTTTAAGCAACAGCAGCTGACTGTAAAGTGAACCGAGATACCCACAGTTGCCCTCTTGATGCTTCTGAATCAGGTCTGTAGTGATGTGCGCCTCAGAATCTGGCAAATAGGAAGTCAAAAGCAGTTACAGGGCAGGAGCAGGTGTAGCTTTCCTCCAGTTCTACTGGCAGCAGATTCCTTCAATTTATGTTTGTCTAAGAAAATATCTGTTTTTCCTTCACTTTTGAAAGATAATTTTGAGCCAGCTGAGTTTTTAATCCAAGCTTTTATTTTCCAAATCAGTGAAACTTCATGCTTTCAAGATACTGAACACGGCTGCCTAATTACTGCTTCTCCCAAACCAAAACTGCTTTCAAATTTTGGAAGGGTCAATATTTACTCTAAATCTTCAACAATCCCTTCTTTTCTATTCAGCGACTCAGGTATGTGAGCCAGATAAGTGTATGTAATCTTCAGCTGAGTATCTTATTAGTGATTTCCTCACAGTTCAAGAGATGCTCAGGAGCTGATGTTGCTCATTTGTTTCTGCCCAGGCTCCTCAGCATCCTCTTAAACAATGCTTTGCTCAGTTGTCTTGTCATTTGCATTCTAATAATGTGCTTAAGTTAAGGTGTCCATCTCCACTGCCCTTCTCTGGATATAATTTGTTAGAAAATAAGCCTGTTACTTGGATAGTGGTGCTGTTCCCTGCGCACCCAGCTAACCACCAGCCAGTAGCTTAGGCTCTTAGCCCAGAAACGAACTCTACAAGGGGTAAAAATGAATAGGAAATAGCAGAGAATTAAAAGTAAACTTATAGAATGAGAAATGAAATAATGTGTAACCTAGATTATTGTTAAAAATACTTAAACTTAGCTGGTAAGTAAATAGCAATATTCAATTTAAAGTGAAAAATCCAGAAGTCATGAAAAATGTCTTTTAAAGAATAATGAAATTGAAAAAAAAATTTACATGTCTAGTAATGACAGGCATTATCTAATATGTGACTTGAATAACTTTGATAGCAAAACACATGTAATTTATTGTAGTTTATACAGGCTTAGAATCAATTTTAAAATTGAAGGAGTATGAGAGAACATTCAGTCTTACACTTTCTTTTTCAGATGCCAAAGTTGCAGATAAAAATAAAATGCATTGCCTGATGTCAAAAAGTCTGTTAGGGGTAGTGTTGGTGCTGAACCCAGCCCAGGGTTTGCTCCACCTTTCCATGATAAAATGTCAACCTTCTTTTGACCCATTTCATCAGAGAAATGAGCCAGGTGATGGGAATAGCAGGCATGCCTGCGGGGAGTTGTTCCCAGAGCTGCAGTGTTTCTCCTGTTTATCTAGTAACTGCACCATCCTTCCTGAGGATGACTCCTATCAGCAGAGCACAAATTCATGGCCAGTTGAGCTATTCTGTTCTTTTTTTACCATTCATATGGAAACAGAAAACATTCATTAAACTGGCAAGGGCCAAGGTTGTGATTTCTGGACCTCTATAAACAGCTTTTTCTTACAAAGGACTGGTCCACTCTGGATTAAACCTGAGGAGGCCTTGTTATAACCCCACAGGTCAAATAAAAGTGAGATCCCTGCTCCTGGGTTGCATAAGTTGTGGTGACAGCAGGGGTAACATGTTTGCTTCCTCCCGTTATCTGCATTCCTTAAATGGGCGTGGGGGCACCCATTTAAGTTACTCATTGTAAATACCAGTAATTCCTTGTGAATTTGACTAATGCTTACATAGGGCACATTATAGACACACACACACACACACACACACACACACACACACACACACACTCTGCATTATTCCCAATTAGGAGGAATATATACAGTCAGAGGTAGCATGAAAACAACTGGTAAATCTCTGCTGAGGACACAGGAAAATTCAGAGTTGGACAAAAATGCACAGAAATCATGGAAAACACCTGGTCAATTCAGTAGGAAATGAAACGTCACACTGGCAAGCCCAGTGTCACGTTTCCAGCAGTTGTGTTGATGTCAGTCCCACAGGGTAAATCCTGAGGCCTCTAGGAACACACTAAGTACATTCTGCTTCCTCTTTGCACATACATATTCAATGTATCCTTTCAGCTACTTAAAGTCTTGTAGACATTGGTCTATTTTCTGCCCTTAGCAGGCATGGCTTCTAAACAATGGGAAAGAAGCCATCTGAACACAAATGCTTACCATCTCCGGGTGGGTGTGACCTAGGAACCAGGGCAAGGAGCAGAGTTCTTAGGCCTGGTGGTGGGCAGCCCCTAAGGAGGCTGCTTTTCCTCACCTACATGGAGTTGGGCTGTGAAGCACTGAATGGGGAAAGTCATCCAGCTTGCAAATGTTTCCACATGCAATCTTTGCCATGTGGCCTCATTTAGTATGTTGAGGTACTTTGAATTTGTTGAATCTTCAATCAAGCGTTTTAAAAAGTTATAAATGCAAATTTAGTGCGGTTACAGCTTAGTTCTGATTTACCCATCCAATGAGGAAGAACGCCCAAGCTGGATGTATCTGTCCACAGGTTCAGTGGCTGCTCATGTCTCGGCCAATATTTGCTACAAGCAGACCTAACATTTGCTGTCAGTTGTAAGAATTTTCTATTTCTAATATTTGACAGTGGGACTCTTTGTTGGAGCTGTGTGCCAAGGACTGTGTCCAAGACACTTTGCACATATCATTTCATCTTCTCAACAACTGGCAAAGTATTTGTCTGATGTTACAGATGAAGAAATGAAGACTTTAGACAGGTTAGTTAACTAAGGCCATAGAGTGCTGAAGTCAGGATTTAAACTCAGTTTTGCTTGCTCCAAAACCTATATTCCCAACCATTCTTTTGAATTCTAGATATATATGTATCACCTCTAAACTACAAGTTGGGTACTATCTTGTAAAGTAAAATGAGGCAGTTGGCATTTTCTTCTTCCTTTTTTTTTGAAACAGAGTCTTGCTCTGTTGCATAGGCTAGAGTGCAGTGGTGCAATCTTGGCTCACTACAACTCTTGCCTCTCAGGTTTGAGTGATTCTCCTGCCTCAGCCTCCCGAATAGCCGGGACTACGAGCGTGCACCACCACACCCTGCTGATTTTTGTATTTTTAGTAGAGACGGGGTTTCACCATGTTGGCCAGGCTGATCTTGCACTCCTGAACTCAAGTGATCCACCCACCTCGGCCTCCCAAAGTGCTGGGACTGCAGGCATGAGCCACCGTGCCCAGCCTTATTCTTCTTTAATGTGATACATGGACTCTCTAGAAGCCACTGAGACTCTGATTTTATTTAGCACATTTTAGACACCAGGGATTCACTCCGGACAAAAACAGGCATGGTCTCAGCCCCCATGGAACTCACAGTGTAACTGGGAAGAGAGAGACATTTATCCAAATAATTCCAAAGATATAGGTGCAATTAAAACTATGGAAAGTGCTATGAAGAGGCCCCACTGAGAGGCTACCTGGGTTCCATCCCATCACTTCCTAGCTGAGTGCTGAGGGGAGGTGTGCTTAACCTACCTTACCTCTGTAATTGTGGAAGTATTTTGTTTAGTGCTGCTTTCCCATACAGGGGTCTTATGAGTTGTTTGTAAAGCACTTAGACCAGCACCCAGTTCACAGTGGACTTGTTGTAATGTTGCCATTCGTTATTGATAGGTGGGAATATGAGGGTGTTTAACGGGGCCTCACCACTCTTGAGAAGATGGAGGGAGTATTTACTGCTCTGTAACACAACCCCTAAAACCTGAAACAGTCATTTGTTCTCATGTCTGGGGCTTTGTGAGTTGACTGGGCTCATCTCAGTTTTCTTACTTGGGGTCTGTTGTGTAGGCACTGGCAGATGTTAGCAGGGGCTTTGGTTATGTGACTGGGCTGAACTGCCGGCGGGCTTACTGGCTGGCACAGCCACTGCAGGGAGCTCAGCTGGGGCTGTGAACCAGGGCATCTGCACAGGTCTCTCCATGTGGCTTGGACTCCTCACTGCAGGACATTGTGTTCCGAGAGGGATTGTCCCAAGGGCAAGCATTCCAAAGACCAACATGGACGCTGCTCTTCTTCCTGAGGCTCCTGGAGGCCTATCTTCAGAAGCCTTAGCATGTTCCTAAACAACATCCTATTGTTTAGGCAAGTCACTAGGTCCTGCCCAGGTCCAAGGGGGTGGAGAACTCAACCAGGGGGTGGCAAAGTCACATTGTGGAAGATGATATGGGATAGGAGATGTTAAGACTATTTTTGGAAAATACAGTCTACTGTGGAAGCTTCCCTGAGAAAGCGGTATTTGAGCTGAGACCTGAAAGCAAAGACGCTCTCCCTACTTGCCCCACCCCAAAGAAAAGGGTCAGCAGCTGGGGATAGAAGAGTGGAAAGCAATTCAGGCAATTTAGACCAAGAGCCCAGCATTTCTGCAAAGGCCAGTGGCAGGAGGGAGTGCAGCCTTGCTTGAGGACCTGAAAGGACAGTGAGACTGGGGTGCAGAGAAGGAAAAGGAAAGGGTGTGGAGTGAGTGGCAAGGGCACGGGGGCCTCTCAGGGAGGGTTTGGCAGTCCTTGTTAGGGAGTTTGTTCTTGTTTTCCTGAAAGATCAGTGCCAACCATTTAGTTGTATTATATTTAACCCACTTTGCATTCATTTTACTTAATTACAGAAGAAGTACATGCTCATTGTTAACCAAAAAAAGTCAAATGCTGACAAATGTAAATTTAAAAAGTGCATGTGCCCCCTCACACTGCCCTTCTCCCGCTCCCCACGGGAAACAGCATGGCCAACGCCTCCTTACACGGTGATGTTCAGATGCCCCAAAAAATGCCCTCCTCCTCTCCCTGAGAAGTTCTGACTTCTACCGTCAAGGAAATGCTTAGCTCTTTTTAAGG